CCCTCCTAGGAAGGGCCAATGGGACTGGATCCCTTGGGCACAGCTCCAAAATCCCTGGATCTGTGTGGGGTTGGGGGTGCTGGCACCTTCTGCACCCACCCTGAGCGCTCCTCCCTCCCAGGGGAATCCTAAGCCTCAGGCCTCATGGACCCACAACGGCCACGCCCTGGACAGCCAGCGGGTGAATGTGCGCACCGGGGACCAGGACTCCATCCTCTTCATTCGCTCAGCCCAGCGCTCCGACTCGGGCTGCTACGAGCTCACCGTGCAGCTGGAAGGCCTGGAGGCCAAGGCAGCCATCAACGTCCTGGTGATTGGTACGGGGTCAGGGAGGCAAAGCTGACTTGCTGGGGACCCAGAGTCCACCTGCTACCCCTGAGCTGATGGCCAGCGGGGTCAGGCCAAGGGAGGAGGACAGGAGCCAGATCGTGGGTAGGAGGGTTTTGCAGCAAGCCCAGCCCCCTCCCCGACCCTCACTCTCCCTCACACTCTGGTCCTGCAGAGAAACCTGGATGCCCCAGCACCATCAGGCTCCTGGACGTCTGGGGCTGCAACGCTGCCCTTGAGTGGACACCACCCCAGGACACAGGCAACACAGAGCTCCTGGGCTACACAGTGCAGAAGGCAGACAGAAAGACAGGGGTGAGGCCCGCTGGAGCCAGCGCGGGGAGGAGCAAGGGCTGAGTGGACGGGGTAGGGTGGGAGGAAGTGGCCTGGGTGGCTGGGAAGGGACCAAGGAGTTCTGGCCTACCCACTGCTAGCCTGACTCCCTAGGTGGCTTTTGGTGAATCTCTTTCCTCTCTGGGCTTCAGTTTCCCCCTCTGGCCCTTCACGCTTTAGAGCAGTGCTTCTGGAAGTGTAACGTGTATATGAATTACCTGCTAAAATGCAGATCTTAATTCAGTAGGTCTGGGGTGGGGGCTGAGATCCTGCACTTCTGTGAAGTTCCCAGATTCTCAGTTTGCAGGTCCTCGGGCCACACTCTGATCAATAAGCCTCTAGAATTCTCTGAGGACCCCAGAGGTCACCTGCTCCAATAGGGGCTCCTTCTCCCAATTCAAAGGCCCTCAGGCCCAAAGCTCGTTGGTTCAGCCTCCCAGGGATGGGGAAGGGAGCAAGCTGCCCCGGGGAAGGGGCCACACGGGAGCAGGGATGGGGGCAGGGACGAGAAGTGAGGCTGACAGGGCAGGCTGCCTGCAGCAATGGTTCACAGTGCTGGAGCGCTACCACCCGACCACCTGCACTGTCTCCGACCTCATCGTGGGCAACTCCTACTCCTTCCGGGTCTTCTCGGAAAACCTGTGTGGACTCAGTGAGTCGGCCGCCGTCACCAAGGAGATGGCTCACATCCAGAAGACAGGTGAGTCCGGGGCCAGGACCGGAAACCAAGCCAGGCCTGGCCAAGCTAGCCCTTCTCCCCGTCTCTGCCTTGTCCTTGGGGCATCAGCATCCCTGCTTTTAGGCTTCTCGTGGGTGGCCCCTTGATGGAACCTTTGCTGCCCCTCCACACCCAACTTCACAGCCACATACACATGGTCATGTGGAGTGACTGTAAAGAGATGGATGTGGTTGACTTATTGCAACGAACACACCAGCGCACACCCATGCAAACGAGAAGCACCCCTAGGGAGGCTGTGCGCTTATGCTAACGATGTCGGGTAGCTGCCAGCATCCCAGTGGTCACTGACTCTCATGCGCAGTGTCCCACGGGAGCTACTCTGAAGGGCAACGTGCGTGGAGAGGTAGACTGGCGAGTTTGCTGAAAGCACAAACCTCTGGACCCTAAAATATCACCACACAGATGGACAAGAGAGATATGGGTATTTACTGTCTCCACGCAGGCACATGACCCTCTTGCGTCAAATGTGAGATTCCAGGCCCTTTCTCCCTGTCACCCTGCGGTCTCCAAGGCCCTCCCCCACGCAGTCTGTGTGGGCTCCAGAAGGCACATTCTTTCTGATGCTAGCCTGAGCTGCGCGGAATTAGGAACAAATTTTTGTTTAACAGAGGAAAGCCAGCCAGGTCTCCAAAGACAAACAGAAATGACATGTGGTGCCTCCGGCTGCTTGGCCACCTCATCTGTTGGGTTTCCTGCCCACTCCCCTCTTTGCTCCCCTCCGTGACTCACCCAGCCACGGCCTCGGCTTCCCTCTGCCTCTCTATGACATTCTGTCAGTAAGTTCCCACGGGATGGTTGTGCCTGACTTCCCAAAGACCCCAGGAGCCCCAGGCCCTGCCCTGGGGCTCCAGAGGACGGGGTGTGCGTGAAATGGAGTGTCACCCACCCTCCTCATGGAAGATCTTCCTCCGGACCACCCGCTCTGTGTCATCACGTGACCTTCCACGCCTTACGCCCCACACTCACTAAGTGGTATTAACTCACCCATGAAGGGCCTCACTTTCCCCTCTGTCAGCCGGGATGAGAAGCCTACCCTTGCAGAGGAAAGCTGTGCAGCTTAAACGAGACAGCCAGGTGTAAGCTGTACTGATTATTTTAGGGAAATATTTCAGTCAGTCCTAAGAGGGCTCCTCCTATAAACCTCAAGTTCACCCCACTTTCTCCCCTGAATATTGTCTCCTCAGATACTGTGGCCAAGCCGAAAAGCTTTGTTGAGCGAGACTTCTCCGAAGCCCCCTCATTCACCCAGCCCCTCGCTGACCACACCTCCACCCCTGGCTACAGCACTCAGCTCTTCTGCAGCGTCCGAGCATCACCCAAGGTGAGGGGCAGGGTCCTACCGTGCCCTGGGCGGGGGCAGCGGGGTTGAAGAAACTTTCCAGAAGTCTCTGCTCACGCCTGAGGACTGCATTCAACCTTCTCAGCTGTCTTGTGACCTCGCTCCCCCAGCCCAAGATCATCTGGATGAAGAACAAGATGGACATCCAGGGCGACCCCAGGTACCGCGCCCTCTCTGAGCAGGGCGTCTGCACCCTGGAGATCCGGAAGCCCAGCCCCTTCGACTCCGGAGTCTACACCTGCAAGGCCGTCAATGCGCTGGGGGAGGCAGCCGTGGACTGCCGGCTCGAGGTCAAAGGTGAGAGCTAGGGAGGGGTCACTCCTTCAGAACCCGCCCATGGATGGGAAAACAGAAGCCACTTCTCCTGCTGGACTAGACCAGGCTGTGCTCAGAAAAATCACGGCAAGACAAGCAAGACAGTGCAGATTGAGGTCAGACTGTCAGAAGGACTTCCCAAGAGGGAGGATGGCTCACTGTGCGGGAAAAAAGATGGTCGAGTCTGCCTGGCAGATAGATGGATCACTGGGGTGAGGGAGGCTGACTCCCTCACCCACCTTCATTCCCCACTCGGGTCCCTGGCGGACACCCACCCCCTCCCCGAGCTCTAACCTTTGGATCTCTCCCAGCCTCAGCGACACACTGAAGGGCGGCTGGAAGTGGCTGTGATGAGGAGAAAAAGTAAGTGACCCAGGGCACTCCCTCTGCTGCCCCTGGGGGTGGGCGGAGAAGGGAAGGTGGCAGTCAGCTCCGGTACACATCCGTGGTCCCAGGCAATGCACACACACCGCCCTGGGGTGCTCCAGAAACGCGGCAGGGCAGGTGACGCTGGTGACGCCTGGAAGGGGGTGATTCAGGGGATGGACACAGGACGGGGTCTAGTCCTGGCTGAGTGACCTTGGGCCAGGGCCCTCCTTTGGACCTGTTTCCACAGTCAAAAAGGTGGACACAATGACCACGCCCTAGCTACCCTCCCCAGGGGATTCTGAGGCTCTGGACAAGGGACGACATACCCTAGAGCTGCAGGGGGCAGAGCTCAGACCGGGCACCGGGCCCTTAGGGAGGGAGGCCTGGGAAGGGAAAAGGGTCTGCTTCCGCTGCTCCACCCCAGCCTTCGGCAGGGCACGCGGGGCCCAGCTCTGCTGCACACCAGGGGCTCATGAGATGTGCTCTCTGCCAGGTGCCGTAGGCCTGAGACGTCAGGGCAGCCGGGCCCAGAATCCAGCTCCGCAGATGCCCCAGACCTCCATCTCCATAGTGACGGCTGCTGGCTTTCTTTGCTCCTTGGTGCCTGCCTAGCCTCCCTCTCTCCCCTGGTGGTGGGCTTCCCAGGCTCCAGGCCAGGCTTCCTGACCACAAAGACTGGCGCGCCCTGCTGGGCGAGAGACACTTGAATAAAGGTGTGTTGTTAAGCGTGCAGGGGCCTCTGCGCCAGCGAGCACCATCGAGATGGGGGCGGCACTTTGTCACCGCCAGGGGGTGACGAACATCTCATCATGAGGGCGTCTCCACCTATGACACCCTAAGGAAGGGGCGAGCGGAGGGGACTCGAGGTATCGGGGGTTTCCAGGCCTGACACTTCTTAGGACCTCACTTTCATGTTCAGGGTTTGCTACCTCAAGAGGGTAACCGAGGCATAGACACAGCCTTCTCCGCAACCCTCCTTGCTCCAAACGCCTCCACAGCCCCCCTCGCTTTGCTTCTCCCCCGCCCCCACCACTGCCTTTTCCCTGCTGAGGTTGTCTGCTGCTCTCAGACAGTGATGGGGTGTGTTCTCTGAGAGGGTTCACAGCCATTTTTATTAGTCAGGTGGCCTTCCCCAGGAGCCAGGGGACATCCCACCCCCGAGAGTGGGAAGGGCCTGGAATCGAGGCCTGGAGTTGCTCTTCACACTGAGAAGCTGGCCCCCACCCCTCTGTATCCGGAGCTCCGGGCTTAGCAGGGAGTGGCCCCTTCCCCAAGGGTCTAAAGGCCTAGACTTTGCAACCCCAAAGCCCGTGAAAACTGTGCTAAGCGCCAGGGCTCCTGAGGGCACTTAAATGCCAGTAAGTCCTTCCTGCCCACGCACAGGAGGGTCGCCTCTGGCCTGACCAGCCTGCCACACCTCATCCCAGAATGCCCACAGCAGCCCGCCTTCCTCTGTCCGTCCCCTCCCCAGGCAGGCGGAACGCTCCCAAGAGTTTTTGCTTTCTGTCTGTCTCAGAAGCAGCAGAGATGGATGTCACCTAGGAGGGTACCGTCCCATCACTGGAGGCTGGCAGAGCTGGTGGCCCAGATGACAGGTAGTTAGTTACATGCCAGTTGCCTGCTTCGGACGCTCAGGACAAGACTGAGGGCCCAATGCTGCCGCCTAGTGGCCATCGGAGGCCCACACCTACAATTCCACGCAGGCTCCCAGGGGGCTGGGAGCCCCCACTCAAGGTCCAAGGGTTAGTAGAGAGTAAAGCAAGTAGTGGAAACTATTTCTGGACCCGCTCTTTCTGCCTCTCCCAGTATAACCCTGGAGTCCCCAGGGCATGGAGAACAGGCACCTGGCGCCCAGCACAGCTGGGAACATAGGGTCCTACGAGGTGCGGACTGAGGCTCTTTGATTCCTGCCTGTCAGTGGCTCTGGCCACCTGCTCCCACAGAACAGGAGAGGAAGCAAGGCCAGGAG